CCCCAAAGGTGAGGTCCTACCTTGCTTCCTGTGCAGGGACTATAAAGTCAGTATCCAGCAAGGAATCATTCTCCTGGTTTTCATCAACATGACATTTCTCCTTTTACCCTTACCACCAGTGCTCCTTGGACCACTCCATGGGGTGGATGTGGGGCCAACACTACTTTCTGCTGGCCATCATGTTCTTTTCAGTGCTTTTGAATCTTAAGTTAAATTCATCCTGTCTTTCCCTGAAAGCTTTAGAGCCCAGGGTAAGGAAAAGATCAGGAGCTGTCCAGGGTCCATCTGACGCACACAACCCTACGCGCTGCCTCCAGGAGAAGATGCCTGACCATAGGACCAGGATGCATGAGTTGGGGTGGAGAAAGTGGCCATGGACCAGGTCACAAGACCTCTGTTGAGCAACCCAAGGGCAGCATTTGTCCACCAAGGACGTGGGAGAAAGAAACCCCTACAAGAGGACAAAGGCCTTGAAAATGAGGGGATGGAGTTGAGACAGTCACAAATTATTAAAGCAAATCTCCTTAAAAATAATTCCTGGCTGGGCACAGTGGCTCATGCCTATAATCCCAGCACTTTGGGAGGCAGAGCAAGAGGATTGCCTGAGCTCTGGGATTTGAGACCAGCCTGGGCAACTTGGCAAGATGTTGTCTCTACAATAAATAAAAAAATTAGCTGGGCATGGTGGTGCATGCCTGTACCAGCTACTTTGAAAGCTGAGGCAGAAGGATTGCCTAAGCCCAGCGTCAAGGCTGCAGTTGCTGTGAGCATGCCACTGCACTCAAGCCTGGGTAACAGAGTGAGACTCCAAGTAAAAAAAAAAAAAAAAAGTCCCAGGACTTCTGAAACTTCTCAGATATTATCAGCGCTGTCTTAACCCAAGAAGAAGGTTAAAGGAGACTCAACTCCCTGCAATCTCTAATTTGTAGGAACAGACATTTCCTTGGCTGAGAGAGGACAATCAAGTTAGATAAGAGGGAAAAATTTACCCAAGTTTTGTGAGTGCTACACAGAGAATTGCCCTGGTGACTTGAAACAATGACCCATTCAGTCAAGCATTTAATTTCTAGAACTTGAGGGGAAACCGGGGGTGGGGGGCCCATCTGATGCGGAAAACAAAGGTGAGTGGGCAAGAAGCCTGTGAGACAAGAAAACACAGGCATATCTAGTGAGCATTAAGAAAAGGAAGAGAAGGCGGGCTCGGTGACGCAGTCGGTGACGCAGTCTGTAATCCCGCGCCTTTGGGAGGCTGAGGTGAGTGGATTGCCTGAGTCTGCGGGTTCGAGACCCACCTGGGCAACTTGGCGAGACCTCATCTCTATAATAAATAAAAAATCAGCTGGGTGTGGTAGCGCGCGCCTGTAATTCCAGCTACTCAGAAGGCTGAGGCAGAAGGATCGGTGGATCCCAGTGGGTCGAGGCTGCGGTGGCCGGGAGCGGCCACTGCATTCCAGTCTGGGTGATGGAGTGAAACTCCAACTCAAAAAAAAAAAAAGAAAAGGAAGAGGTCTTTGGCAATGACCCCAGCCTCTGTGTGGAGGCTTCCAAAACAATGTCTCATGAACAGCTTGACTGGCAGAGGATTAAGAGCTTTAATTTGAGAGTCAAATAGATTGGGTTGAATCTCATCCTCCTGAGTCACAGTTTTATTGTCATTATAATGGAAATAGTGTATCCCCCATGGGATTATGATAGTAACTTCATGAGATAATATGACAATATATAAAAAAAAAGTCTAGCCGGGCTCAGTGGCTCAGCCTGTATTCCTGCGCCTTTGGGAGGCTGAGGTGAGTGGATTGCCTGTGCCCGCGGGTTCAAGACCCACCTGGGCAGCGAAAACTCATCTCTACAATAAATCAAAAAAATCAGCTGGGCGTGGTAGCACATGCCTGTAATTCCAGCTACTTGGAAGGCTGAGGTGGAAGGATTGCCGGAGCCCAGCAGGTTGAGGCTACGGTGGCTGGGAGCAGCTACTGCACTCCAGTCTGGGCGACTGAGTAAGACTCCAACTCAAAAAAAAAAAGTCTAGTGCTATGCCTGCCCCCACTGTAGAGATTGAATAAGTGGCAGTTTTTATTGATTGGTTGATTTTTGAGTCAAAGTCTCACTCTGTCACCCAGGCTGGAGTGCAGAGGCACATTCACAACTACTGCAGTCTTGACGTCCTGGCTCAGGTGATCCTCTGCCTCAGTCTCCTGAGTAGTTGGGACTACAGACATGTGACATCATGCCCAGCTAATTAAAAAAAAATTTTTTGTAGAGACAGGTCTCACTTTGTTGCCCAGCCTGGGCTCAAGCAATCCTCTTGCCTCGGCCTCCCAAAGTGCTGGTATTGCAGGCATGAGCCACTGCACCCGGCCAGATAGTTTTTATAATTGACTTAAGTACCAAGAGAAGGTGACAAGAGGCTTCATAGCTATCAAAAATTACAAGCATGTGGCAGGGTGTGGTGGCTCATGCCTGTAATCCTAGCACCTTGGGAGGCTGAGGCGGGAGAATTGCTTGAGCTCACAAGTTTGAGACCAACCTGGGCAACATAGTGAGACCTCACATCTCTACAAAAAAAAAAAAGAAAATTGTCCAGGTGTGGTGTTGCCTACCTGTAGTTCCAGATACTCAGAAGGCTGAGGCAGAAGGATTGCCTGAGCCCAGAAGGTAGAGGCTGCTGTGAGCTGGGATTGTGCCACTACACTCCTGCCTGGGCGACAGGGTGAGACCCTGCCTCAAAAGAAAAAAAAAGTGAGAGCGCTGAATCCTAACCACTAGAAAATCAGGGAGTGATCCAGGCTCGGTGGCTCAGCTTGTAATCCCACGCTTTGGGAGACTGAAGTGAGTGGATTGCCTGAGCCTGAGGGTTCGAGACCTGCCTGGACAACTTGGCGAGACCTCATCTCTACAATAAATCAGGTGCGTGGCAGTGCGCACCTGTAGTTCCAGCTACTTGGAAGCCTGAGGCGGAAGGATCGTTGGAGCCTAGCAGGTTGAGGCTGTGGTGGCCGGGAGCGTCCACTGCACTCCAGTCTGGGCAACAGAGTGAGACTCCAACTCAAAAAGAACAAAGAAAAAGAAAAAAAAAGTGGATTACACAGATACACAGAAATGGTGCACAACAAAAGGCTAGGCAAAAAACTCAAATAGGAAAGAGTTGCCCATTTTTGTTCCCTGTTGTTTTATGGTCACAGGTACTGTTATTCATTCTTCTCTCTCAGGTGAATTCTACTGGAGGCTAGAATGGTATAACCATCATGCTGTCACTGAAGAGAAGCAATTTGCTCTCCTTCCAGGGTGTGCTCTGGTAGACAGGGCTGGTGGGGCCAAGTCCTGCCAGGTAGCAGCAACACTGGTCCCTGAATGAGTGATTACAATGGGACTTCAGCACTTTTCTCTAGCATTATATAACCAGCACTCCCCTTTCTGCCCCTGAGGGAAAACAACCCTGAGAAATGCCCTCCCTGTGGAGGCTAGGAGTGAGAGGTAAGTTGGCTGGGGAAAAGTTAATCAGTGCCACAACCTGCTAACAAATTACAGCATTTTCTGTGAGCATTTATTATGCTTTCACTATGTTCTGCCTCCTTTTCTTTCTCCTGCCCTTCCTTGCTCTAGGAAATTTTTATACTGGTAAGAAATGGAGACTAATTTTTAAATTTTTTGTAGAGATGGGGTCTCTCTATGTTGCCCCGACTGGCCTCAAGCTCCCAGATCCAAGCAATCCTACTACTTTGACCTCCCAAAGTGCTGGGATTATAGGCATGAGCTACCATCCCCAGTGCGGGCTTTTCTCTATCCACACTGAATCGATTTACCATGACATTGGGAGGGTTTACATGAAGGGTCAGAGTCATGTTAAGTTTAGGGAATCCAGTTTTAGGATGTCTCTGTTCAACTTCCCTCACCAAGATGGTGTGTGCTGATGAATGCCTAAATATTATCCTCTTCACTTGTTTCACTTAGAATATTTTAGAAGGTCTTGTTTTCTCCTTCTTACATGTTTAGGATGCCAGTACCTGGAAAGAAAGAATTAGGTATTCTGGCTCTCTCCTTTTATGGCTGATTTTTTTCTTCTATTATGATTGCTGTTCCCTACTGTGGAATCTTTCACTGAGTTACAATCCAATAAAATTCCTTTAGGTTTTATGTGAACTTTTTATAAGAAATAGGCACATTTCTAATCAGGCTTGGTGGCTTATGGCTGTAATCCCAGTACTTTGAGAGGCAGAGGTGAGAGGATTGCCTGAGCCCACAGGTTCGAGACCAGCCTGGGCAACTTGGTGAGACCTCATCTCTACAATAAATCAAAAAATTAGCTGGGTGTGGTGATGCACACCTGTAGTTCCAGGTCGAGGCTGCAGTGACCATGAGCATGCCACTGCACTCCAGCCTGGGCAACAGAGTGAGATTCCGACTCAAAAATAAAAAAAGAAAGAAAAGAAATAGGCACATTTTTGCATCTCTTACAAAGTTCTGTTAAAACATTGCCTGTTACATTACTCATTATTCTCTAGATAGAGAGTCACATAATGAAAGCCTTCTAGGACTCAATGTCAAGGGAGATGTTTGTCTCTTCTCATTATATAATATGCTTCCATTGATCAGACAGTGAGAATTATATAACTTGATTGTGCCTTTTGGTTTTAATCCAAATTTAAAATTTAAATATCATCATGATGTTATCTCAAGTTTCTGATATTAGAATGTGAGCTCCGGGAATGCAGAACTGTTTTCCATTTTTGTTCCCTGTTCTCAGGACAGACAGAGGAAAAGTGCTCAAGGTCCCTGAGCTGGAAAAGAGCTTGTGATTGTGTAGCTCAGTTCAAGGCAGCATAGATCAGCAGCCTACCCTCTGAAGCACTCTTGGGAAAGCATACTGTGTTAACTGCTTTTCACTGAACAACAGGTATAGTCTCAATGCAGAATTAGCTTGCCACTTTATAAAATCATTTCTTTCTTTCTTTTTTTTTTTTTTTTCGGGTTCCACAAAGGCTTTATTGGGGCCGGGAGGTTCAGTCCTTCTTGGCCGCCGCCTTCCTCGTGGCGGCCAGCACGTTGCTCAGGTCCTCGCGCTTCCTCTTGGTGAGGATATGCCTCCCCACCCGTTTCTTTTCTTTTATTTTCTTTTCTTTTTTTGGGGGGGGGGGTTGGAGTCTCACTCTTGCCCAGACCGGAGTGCAGTGACCGCTCCCGGCCACCACAGCCTCGACTTGCTGGGCTCCGCGATCCTTCCGCCTCAGCCTTCCAAGTAGCTGGAACTGCAGGCGCGCGCTACCACGCCCGGCTGCTTTTTTGATTTATTGTAGAGATGAGGGCTCACCAAGTTGCCCAGGCGGGTCTCGAACCCGCGGGCTCGGCAATCCACTCACCTCAACCTCCCAAGGGCGGGATTACAGGGTGAGCCATCGAGCCCGGCTCCCCATCCGTTTCTTGATGAACTTGAACTCCCGCTTGTCCTTGGAGACCTTGAGCAGCTCCATGGCATGCCGCTCGTAGGGGGCGAAGCCGTCCACCTCCCGGATCATGTCCCGCACAAACTTGGTGTGCTTGGTCAGGCGACCGCGGCGGTGGCTGTGCCTCCGCTTGCTCACGTTCTTGGTCACCTTGTGACCCTTATTGAGGCCCGCGGCCATGGGGTAGCGCAAGGCCATGGCTGCTGCTTTCCAATAGCTGCCGCGTTGGAAGGTAAAATCATTTCTTACTGGGTTTTATGCCGCTCCCAAATACATGAAACAAAGACTTGGAGTAAAGAGGAAATAGATGATTTCCCACTTTGTGGTGACTCTGTGGCATTTGTGTGGAATGTGGCTGACACAGAGCATTATTCCATCTCAAATAGTTATCCTTCTGGAGAATTAATCTGGAGAAGATCTCAAACAAGGTGCCTGAAAAAAAAATGCACATATCATCCTGAAATCCACCCTGAATGGACTGTGTGCCCCTTCAACCTGCCACGTGGATCCTGGCCCAAGCCTCAGCTCTGCCCCTGCCCTTTGACTCTCAGCAAAGACTTTTTGGTTTTTTTTGGATTATGAATCGCACTGTCACCCAGGCTGGAGTGCAGTGGCATGCTCATGGCTACCTCAGCCTTGACCTGCAAAGCTCAGGCCATCCTTCCGTCTTAGGCTTCCAAGTAGCCGGAATTACAGGCTCATGCCATTTGGTTTGGTTTACTGTAGAGATGAGTTCTCACCAAGTTGCCCACGTTGGTCTTGAACCCCCAGTCTCAGGCAACCCTCTCACCTCCACCTCCCAAAGTGATTATAGAAGTGAGCCACCGCACTCGACTGTTAACTAAAATGTGTAACTCAATGAACTATTCCATACTGGGACCTGCCCAATAATAATAACCCACACCATAATCCCAACTTTCATCCTAAACACTACTAACATTCTCAGGTTTAATTTCCAAAAACAAAAATCAAAAACCCACAAAGGATATATAATGGATATATGAAATGCAAAGAGAAGGTATATAAGACATCTTAGACGTCCAAACAGACTGAAAACTTCAATTTAGTTCAAAATACACTTATTGCCAGGTGCAGTGGTTCACACCTGTAATCCCAGCATTTTGGGAGGCTGAGGCGGGGGATTGCTTAAGGCCAGGAATTCAAGACCAACCTGGGCAACAAAGTAAAGTCTTGTCTCTACAAAAAAATAGAAAAATTAGCCAGATGTGGTCTAAGCTACTCAGGAGGTTGAGGTAGGAGGATTGCTTGAGCCCAGGAGTTTGAGGCTGCAATGAGCCGTAATTGTTCCACTGCACTCCAGCCTGGGCAACACAGTGAGACTCTGACTCAAAAAAACAAAAAACCCAAAATACACTCATTGAGTCCTTATTCTTTTTTTTTTTTTTTTTTTTTACTTACTCCATCACCCAGGCTGGAGTGCAGTGGCATGCTCATGGCCACCCCAGCATTAACCTGCTGGGCTCAGGCAATCCTTCCGCTTCAGCCTTCCATGTAACTGAAACTACAGGCACGCGCTACCACACCCGGCTAATTTTTTTTAAATATATTTATTGTAGAGATGAGATCTCACCAAATTGCCCAAGCAGTTCTCAAACCTGTGAGCTCAGGCAATCCCCTCTCCATGGGCTCCCACAGTACTGGGATTACAGGCTTGAGCCACTGAGCCCGATTGAGTCCTTATTCTTTACAAGACACTGCCAGGCCTAGGGGAACACAAACATTAACAAGACTCATAGAAGCTTGTTATCAAAAAGTTTACAGGCCAGTTCAACTGTTACCCAAGTAAATATAATGCAGGAAGAGTGCAGTGCACCCACTGGTGAGGTGTCATCCAGAGGGGTTGGAGGTACAGGGGAGGGAGGAGTCACTTCTGGTTTGAGGTCTCTCAGAAGGTGTCATGGGAGAAGCTAGGTCTGAACTGAACTACTGAAGTTCACTCCACATGGAAGGAAGTGAGGGTAAACGAAAATATAGGGATAGAAAGCCTTGGGTGAGTTTCCTCAAGTGGCTAGAGTTGCTGGAGACACAGTGAGCCACAGAAAGCAATGCCCACGAGCTATGTCCTTCAGTGGACAGGAGGCCTTTCTACGATCAGGAGAAGGAAGTCCCTGCTCCCTGACCTGCACACTCCTGGAGCAAGCCTTTCGTAGTGGGGACCCTGGTCCAGAGACAGCAAGCATGAAACACTGCTGACTGCTTCTGGTTTTTTTAGTCTGGAGAGAATGAGAAGCCAGGATTCTGCCTTGAAGGGGATGGGGTTTGGGAATAGTCCAAAGTTCTAGAAGGGCAGAACGGGGCCAGAAACAAAGATGGGGCCCAGTGCTCAGGTCACTCTAGCCACCCATTCCTGATTTCCTCTCCTTTGTCAATCTGATTGCCTTCCCAGCAGTCTGTGCAGCAAGCAGAGGCCTAGGACAGACAATTCTGGGAAAACTTTTGCTCTCCTGATAAAAATGGACATTTCTGACACTGTTTTCTCCTCCATCTTCTCCTCCTCCTCCTTCTCCCAGTGTCTGGAGCTAAAGCAGCTATTTTGAAACAAGGGAAAAGCCAAGAAAGTTGCAGTGATGCCTGAACTGAGATGGCTGAGCCTCAAAACAAATACCCCCAACTTCTTGATTTGTGAAAGAGAAACGTGCAATAGTTCCGCTTATCTGTTTTGCTTTCTGCAGTTTTAGTTACCTATAGTCAATTGTGGTCTGAAAATATGAAGATATTTAGAGAGAGAGCGAGAGAGGGCGAGAGAGAGTGAGAGAGAGCGAGAGAGAGCGAGAGAGAGAGAGAGAGGGATCATGTCCTTATAACTTTTTCTGCAATATATTATTATAATTGCTCTATTTTATTATTATCACTTGTTAATCTCTTCTGTGCCTAATTTATAAATTCAACTTTATCATAGGTCTGTAAGCATAAGGAAAAAACATAGTATACATAGGGTATGGTACTATCTATGGTTTCAGGCAACTCCTGGGGGTCTTGGATATATCCCCCCCAATCCCCCCCAATAAAGGGGACTACTATTTTTCCCATGGTTAATCTAGTTTGCTGTTACTTGCTGAAACTTTCCTAATTCTGAGTTTGCTGACCTTGAGGTTCTGGGGATAGAGGAAGAAGGAATCCTCAGGCTCCATCTTATCTTGATCATCTCAGCTTACAGAGACTCAGAGTAACGTACTACCCTATAATAAGGTGGTACTATTGAATGGAGTTTTCCTTATGCCTTTTTTTTTGTTTGAAATTTGTGTGACAGCAAGGTCCAGAGTGATAAAACTCAACAGAGGTCAAAGACAATAGTTGTAGCAAGAGCAAATCAATATACCATTATCTACAATTATCTGAGAACCCAGAGGCATTGATTAATGACATCTGGGAGAATAGAATGGACGTTGGCCTTGCCATTAATTGACAACCAGACAGGGCACACAGTTGATCCATTAATTAAAAGTTTTGTAACCATAGCTCAACTCATGTAATTGTATAAATACATATTATACCTTCATAAATCCTTTACATTGAGTTACTATATAGTAGGGCAAATTGGGAAGAGTGCATTATCTTCCTTCAACTGAAATAAATTTTGTTTCTACTAGGATTATTAACAGAATTCACATTCCACTTTAATGTTATAAACTTTTTAAATTGTTTGTTAAAATTTTTTAAAAAATATCTTATGCCATTATGCATTTTAATTAAGTTTGGATATAGAAATTAAAAACCTATATAGAAATTAAAAACCTATATAGAAAATTATGACAACAGCAGTATTCAAATTTAATGCACTGAGTCTTATGCTATGCAATAATCACCAGTCATGTGCAAATTAATTAAAATTAAATAACATCAAAAATTCACTTCCTGTCGGGCTTGGTGGCTCAGCCTGTAATCCCGCGCCTTTGGGAGGCTGAGGTGAGTGGATTTCCTGAGCCCGCGGGTTCGCGACCCGCCTGGGCAACTTGGCGATAAATCAAAAATTATCAATAAATCAAAAATTAGCCGGGTGTGGTAGCGCGCGCCTGTCGTTCCAGCTACTTGGAAAGCTGAGGTGGAAGGATCGCTGGAGCCCAGCAGGTCGAGGCTGCGGTGGCCGGGAGTGGCCACTGCACTCCAGTCTGGGCAACAGAGTGAGACTCCAACTCAAAAAAAAAAAAAAAAAAAATTCACTTCCTGACCGGGTGCTGTGGCTCAAGCCTATAATCCCAGCACTTTGGGAGGCCGAGGTGAGAGGATTGCCTGAGTCCAGGGGTTCAATACCAACCTGGACAACTTGCTGAGACCTCTTCTCTACAATATATCCAAAAAATTAGCCAGGCATGGTAGCACATGCCTGTAGGTCCGGCTACTTGGAGGCTGAAGCAGAAGGAGGGCCTAAGCCCAGCAGGTCCATGCTGGGGTAGTCGTGAGTGTGCCACTGCACTCCAGTTTGGGCGACAGAGTCAGACTCTGACTCAAAAAAAAAATGCAATTCCTCGGTTGCACTAGCCATATCTCAAGGGCTCATAAACCACAGGTGACTGGTGGCTACCATGTTGGACAGTACATATACACAACATTTTTATCATTGCAGAAAGTTCTTTTAGAAAGCACTAATCTAGACCACTTGGGTTTATGAGGCTTTCTATTTATTTATTTAGAACAAATATTTTATTTTATTTTATTTTTTGATTCAGAGTCTCATTCTGTTGTCCAGGCTGGAGTGCAGTAGCACGCTTACAGTCACCACAGCCTTGACCTGCTGGACTCAGACAATCTTTCCACGTCAGCCTTCCAAGTAGCTGGAACTACAGGCTTGTGCCACCACACAAGGCTAATTTTTTGATTTATTGTAGAGATGAGGTCTCACCATGTTACCCAGGCTGGTATCGAACCTGTGGACTCAGGTAATCCTCTCACCTCTGCCTCCCAAAGTGCTGGAATTACAGGTGTGAGCCACCATGCCCAGTGGGCTTTTCTTTTAAATATACAGCAAAACTAGAAGGAAGGAGGATAGGAAGAGAGGGAGGAAGGAAGGAAGGACAGCAACTGAAAGATAGGTCAGGTCCAGGTGGTGAGGGAGCTGTGCTATGCGCTATGCTAAAGAGTTGAAACTTTATCCTGAAGCAGAGAGGAAGCCACTGTGATTTTAAGGAGGGAGCTGATGTTATTGAAAATTGCGTTTTAGAAACAACACCAAGCTATGTGAGGTGGCTC